CCCCCCCCCCCCCGCCCACCCCCCGCCCCTCTAGCCATGACTGCAACGTCCAGTCCACCGCAGACCGGCAGCGGAGGGAATAGCAAACCTTACCGGCCCTGGGGGACTGAAGTCGGAGCTTTTTAAGGCTCTCCCCCAACTCTCACTCACTCACTCACTCACATACACACACACACACACACACACACACACACACGCATGCACACAGGTGCGCACACACGCGTGCACCTCCGTTGGACTGCATGTGTCTGAGTGTCCTCCCTGTTCAGCCAAGAGCTGCGTGCACACACATAGCCTTACAGATGCCTGAAAGTCGGTCAAGGAGCGGTGAAGCTAGTCCCACCTCAGACGTCCAGAAGGACACGAGTGATATATTTGTCTCGGTTTTGTTTTGCTTAAGGCACCTTGAGGGAGCAACAGCGGCTTTCAGAAACATCTTGCCCATACCAGCATTTAGAAGTGTCCTGGGAAATATGTAGACACTAGAACTAATAATTCTCCAGCTATGCATCTTTATTTGGCAGAGAGGTGAGGGGTCGTACCTGCCAAATCTCCTGAGGCTAGACAAAATGGTCGAGTTGCATAAGTGCCTGACATTTAAAAAATAATTTTAAAAAACCCTACATATATATATATGTGTGTGTGTGTGTGTGTGTGTGTGTGTGTGTGTGTTCTGCTAAAACAAATAACATTGCACAGGTATGGAAATGCTATAGGAGAGAGGGGAAATCCTGCATTAAACTTCAGAACTTTGATATGTTTCCAGGAAAAAGTGTACTCTTTAAACAGACAGGTTTACTTAGCCAAAAGATTGCTGAGAAAGAATGTTCCATTTGACAGGCCTAGTTTTCGCTTACTTCATTTACTTTCTTTGTACAGACTTGCCAAATTGTGACATCTAGCATAGTATTGGTAAAAGCAATTATCTTATCAGTGCTTGGATTAATGAACATTTCAGCACTGCCTGTGAGCCCTGAGGCACTCTTTTTGTGGCGTAAATATGGTGCTAGCTTGTATCTGTACAAACAATGATTTTATTACGCACCCAGAAGTAGCCACTTATTTAAAGTGTGCACCCTTCAATATGATTGATTCGTGCCAGCACACGAGATTCAATGTTGCAAGAGTTCAAATTAACTTATTTAGCTGCATTTGGACATTTACTTTTAGCCGATTCTGTGCAAGATCCCCCTTCTTTTCACTATCAGCTTCTGGGATAATGATCTCTCTGGGTATGAATGAAGTTACGATAGGGACAATTTTTAAATTGGCTATTAACATGCCAACATTGTAATGTGGGTTTGATTCCAAACCAAAATGAATGTATTAAAGGGGATGTCAGTAAATTATTTTGTCAATACCCAGACAACTAGTGCTGCATAAAATGTTTTGCTTTCATTTTTTATTACAGTGACTTAAAATAACCTAAGTATTTTAATACATCAAGTCAAGAACTAGAGTTTTTATGTAAAAAAATAAAAAAATAAAAATAAAACACAGCATGTATTATTATGCACTTGATTTCTCTGCTGTGTGGAGAAAGCAATAAGCATTGAGAATGTTAAACATTATGCAAAATATACTTTAAAATATTTGTTTTAAAAATACTGTACCTAGTTGGTCTTTTATGCATTACTTTGTTAACCTTTTTTCTATGCAAAAGTCTTTACATATCACTAATTAAACGAAGTCCTTTTTGACTGCGTTTTATGGATGATTTGTTGCAGTTTTTGTTTGCTTTTGAGGAATGTCTGTGGACTCAAAGTTGCCGTTTCTACCTCTAGTCACAAGCCTGCCAGCTGTTGCTTTCTCTTCTGCTCCCCTTGCTCACTCAAAAAGCCCATCTCATACAGCATGCTTTGAAATAGGAAGCAAAAAAGACTGTCAGTGAAATAGTGTTGTTTTTCAGGCTTGTGCTGATGGTACACTTAGCAATACAGACCCATCCATCCATCCCAGTGAGCCCTTAAAATCACTGGCAGTTTTAGATTCAGCTTCTACTTGGATCCTCACTAAGGGTCCGTGTTTAGAAAGGGAGAAGTTTAACCCCATGGCATCCTTAAACATTTGGGAGAATGGGGGAGTGCAGCTTTTGCCATCACTTCTGGTTTTCTAATTTGCCAGTTCTCACTAAGGCAGCTACTGCTCTACATTTGTTATTATTTCCACTTAGATTTGCAAAGATCATTGGCAGAATATGTATAAAGCTCTGTGTGTTCATAAGGAAAAGCACAAAGTCTTGTCATCCAAGTGAAAAGCACTAAAAGATTATTATGTCCATATTACAGATAGCAAGACTGAGGCATGGAAATGAGGTGACAACTCCACAGCCCCACAGAGTGAGACAGCATCCGTAGCCAAAATACAGCCCGAGCTCAGTGACTCACTCCTGTTCGTCCCTTTCTGCCAAACGGTAAAAATTCAGCTAATCTCTGACCGCATAAACTAGTCTCCAGCACCCAGGAGGGAGGGATTTTGATTTGCCTGAACAGCATGCTGTCCCTTGGAGGAAAAGGACAAAAGATGAGGAAGAAGTCTCTCCACCCCTGAGCTGTAAATCATGTTTGATATTCTTTGAAGTTTTGTTGTTTGCAGGGGAACTAGGCATTTTTTTGTTTCAGGACGTAAATGCTACACTGGTGTAGTGGCATGTTTAGCAGCATCTGGTTCAGATAGCATTCGTTTTCCCTATAAACGATTTTGAGAATAGAGATTACATTGGTGAACCACAAGTAGATTAGAAGAGGACTTTATTTACATGAAAAAGAGTAGGTTTCAAGCATACTTGACTTCAAGCAGTTAAGTATTAACCTGCCCTCTAAGATCCTGGTAGGAGGTCTCCCATGTATTATACCATGTTAAAAATGGGCAGCCATTGATTTGGTTCTACCTAGGGGCTTCAGTCCTATCTGTGTGCCCCAATTAGTTACAAATGAAGCATATTGGCTCATTCTAAACAAAAGGTAATTTGAAAATATATTTTTAAGAGACTAATTAAATGATAGTGTAGTTATTTTAACATCCTGAAACAAAGCACCATGGATGGATTTGTGCAGGCCATGTGTTTGGGTTCATCCCACTTCCAGGCTCAGAAAACAGGCCAAATTCATGTACACTGAATTTCTCCTCTGTATCTTGTATGTGTATGTGTGGGGGGTGGGTTTCTTGTTTGTTTGTTTGTTTGTTTGTTTGTTTGTTTGTTTGAATTGAGTAACAGCAGTAGCGTTGCCTATGCTCTACTAACAGCTTTGTTGAGCTAAGTAAGCACCACCTCCGATACAGTCACCTGAAGGGACCAGCGCTGGACAAGGCAGGAGCTTAGCCTTCACGCCCACTTCATCCTGGGCCTTTTTTGAGAATGTTACCTCTGGAATGGCAGATGAAGGTTTTCCAAGTGAGAACCTGGTAAAGAGGAAGCATATTTTACATAATGCTGTTGGAAAGACATCAGAGAGTAATTGCCTCTGGCTTCTGAAGACTTTGGTTGTATAGTGCCAACAGGTCAGGACTGCAAGAGCCTACACCGTTTTTAAAACCGAGTAAGAGAAAGCTGTTTGCTTGGCATAATTGAGATCCAAAGGCAGGACATATGGCTATACATGCAAACATACTTCAACTCTTTTCTATTTTTCATTCTGCATTCAATGGTGCACGGTCCTGAAGGAAAAGGAGAGACTGTAATTTATATAATTTAAGACTAGATCATAGCACATAGCACAAAAAAGCAAATAAGGTTGCTTAGCACACAGTAAATGTGGTATTTACTAACTTTTCAATGCGTGGGTTTGCAACCTTAAAGTTCAGTTATCAAGAGGATCAAAGGAGGTTATGCAATTTCCTAGGATGTTTTTCTTAAGAGGAAAAAGCTAAAAAACAATTCTGTCACTCAGCATTAGCAGGCTTGAGCCCTTAACCCTCAGCAGCGCAAATAAAAAGCACTTATGCTGCTGGAGCTGTGGGACTATGTCACATTGCACCAAGAGAAGATTATTACCCTAGAGAGGAGAACAGGCTGACCCAAGACGTGAACTGCAGAGGTAGTGCTGCCTGTCATCTCCTTGCTCCAGTTGCAATTGGCAGAACTGCTGCATTCAGGCAGCAGGATAGTCCCAGATTAAAAATTGGCCAAGGGCTGAATGCATACATTCAAAGCAGACTAATCATACCCTGACTGTGGTTACATCTGCCGGAGCAACTGCCAGACGGTCCCCGTTCATGCTGCTGCCTCCTTAGCATGGTCCTTCAAAATGTTCGTTTGCAGGTATTTTGAAAGATGATACTCACATCAGGATATCATGAGATAAGTAGAAAGCTTTTACTGAAGCACAGGACACGAATATTGACAGATTGTTAGGACAAAGTCCTAATATGAAAAATGAAAATGTCATGAAATATCAAAAAGTCAAAAGCATCTTTATCAGAAGATACTATATCAGAAGATACAAATTAAATTCTAAAGCGGACAGTTACCAGGTCTGTAATCACCAATCTCCTTAGTAATCTACTTCTATTAGCGTAGATAGCCTAAGATCACACAGATGAGAACTTAATAGCCACAAGTGACTTTGTTCAATCTCAAGAAAAGATAAAGGCATTGTTACATCTTTGCTTGCAAGCTTTATGTGCACAGCCTCATTTATGTGAGGTGGCTGCGGGAGCCTGAGTGTGATTTTGCTCAAAGCTGTGATTTTAGTGGAGCTCTGTTCCTCTCTTTCTGCCATTTCACCCTGGCAACTTTCACCCAGCTACTTCTGGAGGGTGCGGGTCTCCCTTGTGTCCTGTGTCCCGTCTGCTGGCCCCGTGCAGCTGTCTAGGAAACACTAGACTGCTTAAAGCGTCACTAAATGCCTATGCCTAGGTGGCTGAATTTCTCCTTCTCTGCCTTATATTGCATCATCTGTGGAGCCATGGGGTTTGAACCTTAATAATATTTTCAGAGATGATTTAATTTCTTGAAAGAATCAGTCTCCTTCTCAGCAGCCTAAAGAAACAACAGAATAGTTTATCCAAATCAGCTGATGGTAACATGATGTCATCATCAGTCAATCTTATTAAACCAAGGCCAATCAACACACCTGCAATGGGCACATTCAACGCTGATCTCAGCGTTTTTCTTAATGCTTCGGCTGCTGCAATGACAGTCATTCCAAGACGATGTCCATATGATTTATTTCTAAAAGGACGTTTTTCTGCCTTCCCGGTGACAGAGCAAAGTTTGGCAGTATGAATTAGTGGTGCACCCCAGAAGCTCAAAAATAAGAAGCAAAAGGAAATTAATATGGGAAATAAAAGGAAATGTGTCTGTAGAAATTACTTTGATGATCTGGAGATGCAGATTCATTTTTATACAGCTATAGCTGTTGATACTGAATTCAAGTAAAATTGAATGTTTTAAATGATGTTTATGTGAACAGTGCTATTACTTACTCTACAGGAAACTCCTCCTGAGGTGTTGATTCTATTTTACTTTCCACACAGTCCATATTTAGCATTTTTCTCTTCTATAAAGGAAAGTTTTCAGGAGGAAAAAACACCTTGATGTAACAATAAAATTGTGATTACAATTACTTAACAGTTGGGAAATTTCTAACTCTGCCCACATTTTCGTATGTGTTACATTGCAAGACCTCCTTCTATTAAATCAGCCCACTACTCCAGGAAAGAGTATATTACTGGCAAATGTAGAGAAAAGTGCTTTACCTGTACCATAAGTAGTAATTTGTATTACTGTGTGGTATGTGAGAATCTAGTGTATGACTACAAGGTAATCCACATATCTGAGGAAACAAAATTACAGTTACTTAAGGGCCTACCCCCTTTTCTTCCTGAGTTTTGATTTAATTCTGAATGCTAATTTTTTTTTTTCATATATCAGAGGGCCAAATAACTTTATTTTCCTTTAGGAGAAGGACTCTCTCTTGAGGATTTTAAAACAAAACGTTATGCGTTCAAGATACACATTTGCAGATAGATTAACCAGATGTCATCTGTTACGTGGGGAGAGTTCAAATAGTTTTTAATGACACTTGCCAGCACAACCCTTGGGTTCAATATACAAGCCTTAAAATAAAATAAGCCTGTTTCTCTCCCCCATACCCTCTCCCTCCATTGCTTTTTAAATGTATTTTGGTGAAGGAGAAGGGAGTTTATTTTGTTTGGGTTTTCTTAGTTTTGTTTTTCTGAAAAGGCACCACACTGGCAAGAGGAAGTGGCAGCCAGGCAAGCAGTCTCCTTGTGTACTGCGAATATCTCATTTAGTTTGGGTAGGCAAAGTCGCTTCCTCTGCCTTCCCCTTCCCCTTCCCCCTTTTTGGGCAGCTGTCCCACTGGGCAGCCCCCTCCCCTCCCTTCCTGACAAAAAGCAAAGGCAAATGTGATGAAACCACCATAAAACTGCCCTGCCAACCAGCCTCCTAAATAAAAGCTGGTGGTAAGCACCAGCAGTCAGTCTGCAGTTTCACCAGCCTGGCCCAGGTGCCTCTCTCCATTTGCTCTTTCCTTTCATTTCAGTGATTATTATGGCTCAAGTGTATCTTTTTAATAATTACCTCAGATACGCAACCTTGATCTGCCGTCATCGGTGTCTGCTTCCTTCCCTCCCCATGTTATGATGTGTCTGCTACCTGCTCAGTTACAACGAATTTTTCTCTTCTATTTACTGCACTACGCAGTTGGTAGATAAAAAGGCTATAAACAGGAACCTGAAAACAAAACAAAACAAAACAAATAAAAACATTTCTTGATACTGCTGAAAAATGACCTTTATGTGTTGCCCTGTCCTCCTTCAAGGCCTGGTAAACCCACAAGAAAGATTCCCATTAGTAAATCACTATTGGATCATTAAACCTTTTTAAGGCAGTATGTGCTTTACCAAGAGAATGAGGATTACGACACAGCAGTGCCTGCTGCCCACTGACAATCATGGGAACCGACCTCAGTAATAAATCCATGAATTATCTGGCTCACTTTGACCGGTTCTCACGCCAGAGCAGCTCCTTTGATGTGACCGTGAAAACCCAAGGATGCCCAGTACCAATAGCCACCGACAAAACAATAGAGAAGTAATAATTCGATATAAATATGTAAAGCCTGCTTCCCCATATGCCCAGCTTTTGCAGTGGGGCATTTCTTTGCCTGTGGATGAAATTGGAGACAAAAAAGAGAAATAAAGCCCTTGTATTTTCTGTGAATAACCTTTTAAGAGAAGAAAAGCTGGGCATGTTAGAGAGACATTTTTTAGCTATCATTGATGTGCATGACTTTTTTAGCCGGGGCGGGGGGCGGGGGACGGGGGGTTCCCTCTTCCTTTTTTACAGCAGTCTGAAGCAACATTCAGGTTCAGAAGCAACATTCACTTGAGGACTGATCCTACAGAGGGACTAAGGACATAAGCCATATTTAAAGGAACTGTTCCACTTCAGTGGGGCTATTCATGGGAATAAAGTTATTCATGCTTTTAATCCCTTGCAGAACCAAAACCTCAGAGGATACATTCTCATTTGTCTGATTTGCAAACATATTTAGGTGTCAAGCTCCCTTTGATTTTTCTGTGGTGTTTAAACAGGTCAGAAATATGACTGCCAGCTTGTCGGCTGCCCACCTGTAAAGTGAGGATAGCATTATTTAGTTTCTCTTGTCCTTGATCTTGTCTATTTAGATCTCAGGCTCTGGGGCAGAGATTGCCTCCAACTGCAGAGGCATGCTGTGAGCATCCCTAGCTACAGTCTCTGGCCCTCACTGTAAGGCTCCTGTTAACAGAAGATAGTAGCTGTCCTAAACGCAAGATGCTAGTGAAGAGATCAAATTTCTGATGGCATAGTGGAAAGCATGGAAAAAAAAAATCCTCTTCAGATCAGATGACCCCAGGAGAAGCAGAGTTTGCTACATTACTTTTAACTGTTCATTTTTTTATTCCTAAAGCAGGATCTGCAGAGGAGGTGGATTGTAGGTGCAGAAGACTTAAAGACAGCTGGTTTTCAAAAACACTGAATAGCTGTAACTGCACCAGCACGACAGGAATGAATAAGCAGGGGACACTGCTTGTGGGTGGGTTGCGCTGAGCTGTCACAGGGGAATTGCTGCTGCTCGGGGTGAGCCGACTCTCTCCTCGCTGCAGGCAGGCAGCTGCTCACTCCCACTCCGTTTGGCGTGTTTGCCTTGCACTGCAGAAGGTTTCCGATTCGGCGCACCCCAGCAGTTCAGTACAGTCATTGAGAAAACAGACAAACGGGGCTGATAAGGGCTTCCTCTACTTGTCTGAGTTTCTAAAGAAGTGTGGCAGTACGACTTATTGCAATGAGCTACTCCACATCACGTACCACCTCCAGACACAGCAAGAGCCACCAGCAGCTCCATTCACTCATTTCTTTGCACAACACAAGCTTGGGACAGGTCTTGGCAAGCAACCCAAATATAAGCACTTAGAAAGTGAGTTTTGCATGCACATGAGCCCTCTCTGTGACCATCGCAGAGGCAAGGAATTCACTGTGATAGGGACTTGTGCTCTCTCACGCGTGCTCTCTCTCACGCGTGCTTCATCCTCAGCTTCAATGCATTTGCTTAATGAAACATCAGTGCAGTAATGCTGGAGGGATGAAAACCACCTGGCAGAATATATCAAGACACTCTGTTTTGATTCATCCAGGACCCTTGCCTAAAACAGATCTGCAGCTGAAACTCTATACCTAGGTTGGGATAGAGGAGGAACAAACTGAAGGTTACATGCTGCAAAACTTCATCTTGTTGTAATTGGACAGGTGGCCTCTTACCTCCACAGAGGGAAAATCATCCCTCTGTTTCTTCATTTATTTTGCCCGATCTCTTGTGCTGAATTGTCATCTATGCAACACAATTTATGCAATTTATGCAATGCAGAGTTGCCAGTTTTGTCAAAAAAAGTCCTGGAAAGGGATTCTGCAGCCGCTTGGGGTGTCCCGGCTCACGGAGCAGCTCTCAGCGGCAGAGGTGCAGAAGGCACCCTGCCATGGTCACACACCGCTGGCTGTGTCAGGCTCACCGGGGTCACCGCCATCCCCAGGTCACACGCAGCACCACAAGCCAGAGCACGTGCTGCAGTATCAATTTTTCACTTGTTTTCCTGCTTTAGGGGGAAGCAGGCACCTCCCAGGTTTGTTTTGCTGCGAGCTAGCCAAAGAATAGCCACAGCATAATTCTTCATCAAGATAGTTTGCTAAAATGTAATTAATCAAAAGAGCACATGAGGAACAAGGCATGGAAGAGCAGAAGGTCATGATTGACTGACTACAAGGCAGTAATAAAAGAGGTCTAGAAAGTAGATTTTCAACATACAAGCAAGAAGTTCAGGCATTTAAAAGGATCAGAACTTTCATAATCTCAGGATCAGAGAACTTCTTAATAAGACATGGCAATTACTCCTGTTAAAGCACTTGTTGGAAAATGCTCCTCGAGTAGTATTATCTAGATCTGTATGTAGCAATTAAATCTGTATTTGACTTTCATTACCATTACCTTAAACAAAATGCCTTGTTTTGGATAAAATCATCTCTCTTAAAATATGATTCAGGGTAAATTTTCCAACTGTAGTTCTCAAGCAACAGCCATAGCAGGATTGCAAATGAGATTTTTTTTTTTTTTTTTAGTTTATCTTATTCCAGAGGAGTTCTATATCAGCTCTGCAGTGCCTGGAAAAAGAGACTTACAGTTACCTTCTAAAACAACAGCATTTTATAGAAATCTTGGGGAGAGAGAACAGGAGGAAAAGAAAACAACTTAAAAAACAAACAAGTCTTGAGAAGGGATCGTGTGCCTGAAAGCTTCTTTTTTTCCCCTTTCCACCTCCATCAGTTTATCTAACAAACACTTTGCTTGCTTGTGTGCGTTGGCAGCGATGGCTACAACAGCCTCCTCCTAACACCCAGACTGCTCCCCTGGTCCGCTAACCCTGTGAGTCCTTGGTGCAGAGGGGCATGAAGTCCGTCTTCCCTCTCTCCTGGCCGGCTGACGGCAGCAGTCAGCTCACCAGGGATGCACAGACTCTGGTTCCCTTCCCTGCCCTGGCGCAGACTTTCTGCACCATCTTCAGCTCAAAATCTACAGGTAAAACGGAGATGTCACTGTCCTCTTCGAATGGCTGCGAGGCTTAAACACCCCGAGGGCCACATGGTTCTTCATCACTCCAGCAGTGATATACTCTAACAGTATATAAAATCGATATATAAATCCTCAGATAAACTGAAGTGTTGAAGAATCTGCAGCATCTGCCTGATAATCCTTTACAACACCTCTTTTGTAAATGATACATCAAGGCTGTTCAAAAGATGTGTAAAGCTTACACACTCAGTCTTATACTTAAGAAAACATGTTGCTTGCAATTTGGCTTAGTAACAACTTCATCTGTACCTAACGTAGGTTTTATCAACAAATGCAAAGCCTTCATTACTTTATCGCTCATTAGAATTAAACAAATAGTGTTAACATTTGAAACTAAGTTAGAAATCTTTTAAATAGCAACCAGGCTGAGAGAGTAAGTGGAAGACATGCGACTAGGATGCCACCTTGTGGTGTATGAAAAAAATATTTTTAGCAATAAGCAGAGATTAGTTTTCCTTTAGAGGGCAGCACGATGTTTTACTCTAGTGTTTATTTCCACAATAAAAACAAAAATAATGGGATAAACTGCCGTCTGAATTTCATGGGTACAAAATAAATCCAACGAACACACAGTCAGTTAAATATGTCCTTCAGATAAAAGTGCGATATGAGGACAAGCAGAAAAAGCCTTTGGAAAAAAAGCTAGGAGCATTCAATTTTTTAATTATCCTATTTATTTTCAAAGTCATGCAAAGTTTTATGTTGACAGACAAAATATTTTTAATATAAGGTTGGGAAACCTTAAGAGGAAGAATTAATATAATGCTATAACTTTAAAGAGTCAGACAGAAAAAAAGTGCCAGAGACATAAAAACAAGTTTGTATGTGAAAGCTCCTGTCCCCTAAATTTTCCAAGACAGTATAAAAAATAAGAGTTAAGAGTCTTAACCAGATACTCAGCCGCTGGTTTAAATGGATCTATAGTAAAGGTGAGGTTTTACTTACCTCTCTTTCCTTATTTCTATTGCACTGTGATCCCATCAACCATGGCTCTGAGATGGAAGGCAACAGAACAAGTTTTTGAGGAAGAACATAAGTGAAAGGAAAATATCTGAATGTCTCTACAAACACTTGAAAGGAAAATATCTGAATGTCTCTACAAACATTTCGGGATATATCATAGCTGGAAGCAAATTCAGAATATGACTCTTCAGAAAACAAAAACCTCTTATTGACCTTATATTTGATTGTACCACCTGTCCTCCACAAAAGATCCCACCTCTTCTGGGACATTAGCATTCTAGTGTTGTGAGGTACTACTTATTTAAAACAGCAAAAACAACCTGAAAGACTCTAGGAGAGATGCCTCTTCCATCTGTTAATAGTAGAACTACCACAACTGTTTAAACTAAGCTGAAGGTGAACACTTACCCTGGCATCTTTTCAGTTCAAACCAGAACACTTTTAATCACTCAAAGTGTTAGTAAATCAGCAAGAGTACTCATTTCCACTCCTTGTCAGGTGGATTTTCTATTTTGCCTAAGTACTTTGGCAAGTTTCAGGTCTGGCATTGTGCCCCTCTTTTCTTTAAGAAAAGATAAATCTATAAAGAAAGACAACTTTTCTCAACACCTAAAGGATGATGGCCTCCCCTTTTGCTGTTTGCTTTCTGCCTTAAAGTGAGAGAGGCACCGTCCCTTTGCACCTTCTTAACGCTTCTTTGTCGTAAAAAAATATGTTAGAGGACCTCCGGAGTTCCCATGAGACGCTGCTATTGAGGCTGGAGAGTAGCCCAGACTGCGGTACTCATTTCGCACATCCTGACGAAGACGGCCAAAGTCGTTATTTCCAGTGGGGCTTTTACATCAGGGCAAAGTCATCCAATATGAAGCGTGGCCTGCTCATACTAAGGAGCTATACTGGCAATGCAAGGTCCATGGCCCACTACTGTCAGCAGGCAGGGAAGCACAGTTTGCTGAGTGCACTCACCCCTATTTTAAGAGAGCTGGAGAGCTCTGCAGTCTGTCTAAGCTAATTTTATTGTGACTGGTATTTCTTAACTGTGGCAGGCACTGTCCAACATGAGAGAAGAGGTCCTCCCACTGCGCCCTCTCTCATCCCACAGATCATGGCCAGGGGCAGGAGGTGGGGGATTATACTCTAACTGGCCATGGGAGGAAGGAGGGCAGCAGCTTTTGTCAGAGCCAAGATGTGTGCTTGGGTCTACAACTGAAGTGCCCTGTTATGGGACAGAGCTGGGCTCAGCCCCACCACGGACCTCGGCTTGGTCTCACCATGGACTGGGCTCGGCCCCACCACGGACCTGGGCTCAGACCCACCATGGACCTGGGCTCAGACCCACCATGGACCTGGGCTAAGTCTCACCGTGTACCTGGGCTCGGACCCACCACAGACCTGGGCTTGGCTCCGCGATGGAGCCAGTGACAGCTTCATTGCAGGAGAGTGGAAGGGTGGGAGACTGAAGCCGATGAAAGGGAGGTATTAAAACTCCCTTAGCCTTCTCCATTTATTTCTTCCCATCATCCGAAGTATATCGGGGATGTGGGATCTCTCTCATCCTCTATCCATACACCCAGCCAACCCCTACGATTGGGGCTGTGCAAATACAGAGCGAAGAGGGTCTGTTTATCAGGTGAGCAAACGTCACTGAATATATGTGCACCCGGGGCACATCCTCGGCGCAAAAAAAGGGGTCTGCAAGCAATCACCGTCCTAACCAGGCGCTCACCCTACGGGTGCCTGCAGCCCAGGGCTGCTGCACGCTGACAGTCCCTCTGAGCAGGTGTTGCTCAGCAGCCCTCTGCTGACTGCTAGGAACCCGAAGGGTAGGAACCGGGTGTCCAGAGACATTTTTATGATGGCTGGACTTCCCAGATAGAGGATACACCTGGACGGGCTGCCCCTGCTTGCCCTTACGTGCACAGGGAGTTAAGACTTTGCAAATTTCTTCCATACATGAGCCTTTTAAAATGTGAAGTGCGCATTAAAGCTTGCTGCTCTGCAAATGATGTCTCCTGCTTGCACAAGAGTTGGCTAGATGCTCTTTGGACTGCTTGCAGAACGAAAGACAAGGAGAACTTTAAAAATCAAGCGACAGTAATTAAGGGAGAGGGAAGAAAAAAAAGAACACTTCCCTGACCGGGAATCGAACCCGGGCCGCGGCGGTGAGAGCGCCGAATCCTAACCACTAGACCACCAGGGAGCTCCGCAA